AATTATAGATTTTTTTCGCAAGAATTTCAGAAGAAAATAAAACCCAATCTCTTGAAAATTGAGGACACTAGATTAGCGCGCACGGATGGCAAACAAGCAATGAATAATGTTTTTCCTTTTATGGATTGTTAGTTTTTGCATATGTACAATAAGCATGTAATATATGAAAATGGTTACTTGAAGATTCAAAAGGTCATAGTAATCTCCTTTCCACAAAACGTTTGATTTAACCCAGTTGCGGCAAGCCCAGTAATTAAGCTGGTCTATTAGCTTATGTGAAAATCAATGAGAAAACGTTGATGGACTTAAAATAACTTAATAGCGGTTGGTGTAACCGAGCCTCAGATTCAACGTGAAAGTTAATCATTAGAGAATCATCTCAGGAATGAGCAATTTTCAAAAAACGCCAAGAGAATGTGTTTGTAACTGTAATATCACTCATTACTGAGATGACTGTATAATTGGCAAAGTGCCTCGTTTTTTTTATCATAAATCTCATAACCAGGTCTACAAATATCCCAGTTTTCATGAATTGCATCGATTTATTAATTAATAACATTTTGTTGCAGCTGAATCGTGGCCCCAAGTATTCGATGACTCTGAAGCCCGCATGGATTGGGGATGGGAGCACAAGTATGATCTACCCAAATTGGTCTCCACAATGGTCCAAGATGTTAGTGAAAATTTTCTTCCCAAGTTTCAAAGGCATACACATGTCAACAGCTATGTATAATTAAACACCACTTTTCTCCCCTTCCAACCGTTTCGCGTGAATGAAAAATAATAAAAAGAAAATTATAACATGAGTAATGAATACACGATTTATAGGAATACCTAAAAATGAAATATTTCAGGAAAAAAAATCAAGAGTTCTTTTTTGTAGCTGAATTTTTTTTCGGCAAAGATTTTCAGATGCTAGTAATTATAAAGATGCCTCGAACGTAAGTACCTTTGAGAGAAAATTTCGACAGAGTTCCTTTGTCGCTAAAGATATTTCTCACAAAAAAAAGTCCAAAATGAGAGAAAAAACAGCATGTTCCGCAATAAGTCTTGTTTAAAACCATAAAATTGCAAGTTGAAAAGTGCGAAGAATAAAAAATCTCGTGCTGAGTTTAAATACTTTAGAGAGTATTCTTAGATAAAAAAATTTTATCACAAAAATTGTGATTTTGTGCGCAATGAAATCTGATTGCTAGCAGTACCTACACCCTACACGTGTGAAAAAATTTCCTAGAGAAACCTAACGAATTCGCTAGAAAATTCTATTGGATTTCTATTGAACTTTCAATTAGTTTTTGGCCGATTTTTTTGAAATGTTCAATAGACAATATTTTGTAGAAAAAGTCAATAGAATTCGATGTTTCGATACAACTTATTCTATTGAGATAGTTTCTATGGAATCTCGGCTCAAATTTTTGGAGTCTTTTTCGTTTGATTTTCTTGATGAAAATAAAAGACATAGAAAGAAAAAAACTTACACGGAGAGAAAAATTCAATAAAAATTACCAGAAAAAAAAGTTACAAGTTAAAAATTACGTTTCGAAACATATTTACTCCGCGAGCGAAGTAAAATTCAATAAGAAGTGAGAGTCGGAACTGAAATTGTACGAATCGCCACGTACATTCTACGATTTGTTCCGTAAAAATTGATCATTCGTCTGATTTACCGCTGTGGGGACAAGTCATTCCGTAATTTTTCCCCAACGATTGAGAAATTTAGCGGAACGGAACGTAAAAATAACTCACCGCTTCATAAAAATTGTTGAACGTTCCAGAATTTCTGATTTTGAAGGCATAATAAGTCGGGAAGTTTCTGTAAGATTTTACTTCTTCGGGAAAAATTACGTGCCAATTTCGTACTTTATTCGGTGATAAATCTGAAAATTCACTGACCGCTTCAGATTTCTTCTCGTTCATTCCTATAAACATTGCCGGAAAACGATTCCCCATTGCGGATCACGTGAATTGTTCCGTAGTTTTTACTGAATATTTCTCTCCGTGTAAAAAATATAAGCCGAGGAAATTCTATAAAAAATATTTCAATAGAATAAGTTTTAATAATTTACCTTACTCAAAGATAATACATGATTTCTTGACTAAAATAATAATGATGATATGATGGCAATTCTATAAATTAACAGCAAAATATTTGTTAACTTGGTCAACTATATGAGACATTGCTGTCCAGAAAAGGCATTATCTCGTGTGACTGATCCGTCTCTGAAGTTGAATACTTCGTTCTTGAAAGGAGAGCGATCATTCATGTTTGAGATTTTCATAAGTTCTACTGAAACAATTTCGATCTTAGCAAATTTATCAGCTTGCGATTGCTTCGGTTCACCTGAAGCTTGTTTGAGAACATATTTTGTTTTACTCATATTTTGTTTTGTAACATTTTCTCCTTATCTCAACTGTTATAACTGCTGGGACAACTTCGTAATTCCCTTCAGAAAATATAACTGCGAAGATCAGTCTTCTCTTCTCTGTATAAAAACAAAACAAGCAGGGGACAGCGAGCATATGACAGCGCGCCATGTGGCAGTGAGCATGTCACTGAGTGATATCTCATTTTTTTTCGCCATCAATACGTTGATGGCGGGCTTCCGAATGGTGTGAAACATTGCAAAAGTTTATAGCTTCACAACACTAACTAGCAGCAAAAATTTCCGATGGTTACTGCCACCTTCATGGGTGCTATCAAAGTTCCAATGTTTCGAATACTTTGTATGAGCGGGTATACATATTTTCTGTCCAAATTTCAAGTTGATATGCGAAACTACTGATGCGATTGAAGCCATTTTCAATACGAAATATTGCTATCATGAGAGGAAGATTCTGTCCAAATTTCAAGTGGATATGTCAATTTTTGGACAAGCTAGAGTGTTTACAAAGTTTTTTATGAAAAAACCCGAATATCTCGAAAACTTTGTATGAACGGGTATATATGTTTTGATTGTTTTAGATAGAAGGCATCGAAACGAATATTTTGAAAACAAAAAAATTGAAATCGGTCTACTAGTTTTGAAGATATTTGCGGAAAACTATTTGAAAACGAATCACTTTTTCTTCAAAACTATTAAATCGATCGAGCTGAAATTTTGCACAGAGTTACTCCTCATTAAGACTTATAATCTGACAAATTTTTAGATTTTTTGGAATTACGTGGTCACCAAACTTCGTTATTTTACGTTTCAAACTATTCTACATCATTTCCAATAAAAATTAGAAAATGTGAAAATCGAAGGGTTGCAATGCTTCCATTCGGAAGTAAAAATATTTGGTTTGAGTCTCAGGAAACGTAGTCGTCTGTCCACAACTCAGAAGATGGCCCCACAAACACGAAACGCAACCTAAGGTATGATAGAGGAAGGTAATCTCAAGTGTCCCCAGAAAGTATTTCCTTCTCATAACACGAGGCGTCGCTTCAATAGCTCCTCCTTGTCCCCACTCCAGCTTCTCTGGCGTCCCTCTTTGCCCCGCAATTCCCCTACCGGTCCAACTGTCGTCAAGCTCTCATTTGAATATTATTTACTTTATATCTGCAGAATTGCAGACAACAAAGCAATAAATTCATCAACATTCGGATGAAAGACTTCGATGAGAGTTCAATCAATTTGAGAGGCAACACTGATTATTCATCTCTAGTCTAGTGAAATAATGTTGCATGAAAAAGAAATCAAAATTTATTGATATTTTATGGGAGGTATTTTCCATTGAAAATTCCTATGAAAGAGACGTACATAAAAGCTATTGAATTGTTCAAGTGAATCGACAAAACAGTGATGCAATTCTTAATAGAAGTCCAAACAAAGCCAATAGAATTTCCTAGTGGATGCACTATTTGTTTCTATGAATTCTTTATCATAGGTGTTTCATATTGACGATTATCGAAAAGCTGAACATTCTCATCAAAAAGTGTGTCTAGAGAACTGCAGCAACCAATGTAGGCAAAATTACACAGAAAGGGAAACATCTCCGACCAAGTCTGCTAATAAACAGATCTTCACCTACATCAATCAGACTCCAGCAGCCCCCTAATATTCCAAATAGCATTGCTGTATCAAATCTACCAATAATTCATCCTCAACCTGGCAAGCTGAAATTAACGACTTCTCTCAGCGATACTGATGCCACAGTATCAGTATCGAACTTCAAAGTTGGTTCTGTGATAAAAACGAATATTAAGAAGAAGAAATAAATTACTTATCTAGTCATAAAAATACCGCGTATAGTTTTTCCAGCCCTGAGATATTTTATAGTGAAATGAAATTTTCAGAAGATATAGATTCATTTTAGTCGTTATTCATAATAGTTGCAAATTCATGATACGTCCAAAAAATGTAAATTTGTTGAATATGCTTATTTTTATAAAAAATTATATTTTTTATTTATTATTATCGCGTAATTATAGTGAAATTATATTGAATTGTATTAAAATTATATTGAAAGTGATAATCCTGTATGTGTGATTGAAATTATATAATATTAAAATGGAAAATATTGTAGAATATAGCGAATTTTCGAAAACGATTTGAATATTTAATTTTTCGCATGTTAAATAATTATATTGGCATGTGAAATTTTGTTGTCTAGTGGGGCGATAGGGGAAATGAGGCGGTGGAGAGGATGAACCAAGCAAGGCAGTAGGGAAAGGGTAGGCGACGGTAGGGCCATCTTACAGATTTTCTGAGCAATACATTTTTCGGGGACAGGCTGGAGAACAATGCTTAAGATTACCTTCCTCTATCATACCTTAACGCAACCAGCTCAACACAGTTCTATTCCCCAGAAGCAGAAATATTTTTCTAATTCTCAATTGATCACGCAAAAATAAAAATGCGTTTTTTCCCGACTTATCTTCCTCCACCACAAGAAACTCGTTGCAATTTTTCAAGAGCTATCGTCGAACGAGTATAAATTTTTCATTAGCAAACAACGTTTGTCGACACAGCATTAACTAGATAGAAAAATAAGAAAAAGGTAAAAAACTGACATTCAGATAACGAAGAAATCGTCCATATATTTCATGTAATTATTTATTATCTATCTACGTATTTACATCACTTGTTTATCTGTTCTATAACCGTATCACTCAATAGGGCTGACAGTAGCTCTACCCTTTCGATGGGCTGTGTTATAGATTTGGTCATTTTCAGTTTTTGAATTTTCCAACTGAATTGAAAAAATTCGTACCTAATTAGTATCATTCAAATTACATTTTACAAAATATGAATATTTTTCCAAACGCTTCCTTCTCATAAATAAATAATGGAACTTCCCTGCAAAACCGTCGATCATTGTCTACAAAGTGTTAAAAAAATTCTATTTTTTTACATCTAATGAACAAAAATCATATTTTATTCTTTCATTATAACGGAAATGTTGGTTTTTGAATAAGGCGCAGGGTTAAATTCTGATTTTCAAACATTTTTTCTTCAAAAAATCAAAACCATAATCAAAGTGAAAAAAAAAATATTTCGAATCCAATAAATTTTTCTGGCGATTCTTTGCAATATGTCATAATCTTTAAATTTATTACGAGGGTAGAGCTACTTCAATCAACTCGTAATATACACATTCTCCTTCTCAAACCAAGTAAAATCCATTCCGTTCCTAAAAGTCTGCCTTCAAACCCACAACGCGGAAGTGACCTCTCAAATTGCCAGATAAATTCACAAAAAAAGGAAAATAATTCTTCATGCTTCGAAAGCCTGAGAAAATCTCAGTTACACGTTCTATAATTTAAAGAAAAAAAGCGTCTTCAGTATATTCAGTTGTTGCAACTACCATTACCAGACTCAATCTGGAATGCGCCCTGGCATTCGCCCAGGAACGTTAGGAAGGTTCTTAAATAGTGGGGCTGACAGTTGGGCGTGAATGCACTAGTTAATTCTACTCAATAAATTTAAAAAAGAAACACCCAGACGCATACACAATGACCTTAGTTTATGCATTTAAATTTTCTTCGCACTTTCTCAGTTTCTCACATCTTGAAAATTATTTAGGGTGAAGTGGCACGGTGGGAGGAGTCTAAAACAGGCTAGTGAATTGTTTCGGAAATATCTCTGAATGAAAGAGGTTAGAAGAAAACGTCTAAGAAACTTCTCAACATTTCCTCTAAACCAACTAGTCCACAAACATTTACAATTTAAAATTCTATAATTGCATTCATCAATCTCATACCAATTCACCCCAAAATCACTTAAAAAGTCTATTCATTCATTTCTCAACTCAATTGCTGTGGTTCGCGAATTCCGAGGTTTTCCTCCATCGTCAAATCTACCTCCCCTTAACAGAAAAATAAATACATAAACAGTGATTTTTATTCCCATGCGCAGAGTTCGGAATAAACGAAGGAAAAAAAAAACATTTTAATTCACGGAAATTCAGTCTTGAGAATGCTTGGTCGTTTCGGGAACTTGTTGATCATGATTATTGGATCTTCCCCCAATGTGTGATGCATTAACCAGTGGCTTAGCGATCCAGGGATGCCGGCGAATGTCTTCGCTCTCAGGACGCTCGGAGGGTTCTCTCCTCAATAAAGCGCGAATGAGGCACTTAGCCCGTGCACTGAGCCCATCTGGCACAGCGAATTGTCCCCTCGATATTTTGGCAAAGAGTGATGCGTGCTCGGCATCATTGAATGGATATCTACCAACTAGCATCGTATACAGAAGAACACCGAGGGACCAAATGTCAGCTGCTTTGCCAGAGTATGCTCTCCCTGATCGTAGTACTTCTGGCGCTACGTACGCTGGACATCCACGACGATCAGTCAATTTGTCATCGTCCTCGTCGACTAGCACTGCGTCCTCCAGACTCTCCAAACGTAAACGAGTCCTGGAATCAATCAGTAAGAAATAAAACGTTAGGAGATTGTTCGGTAATTGTGGAAACTATCATCTTATAATTTAAGGAGAAATTGCCTGCAGGAGTTTTCAGAGAGAAAATGGGAAAAATATGAGGAATTTTTTAGATCTTGAGAGTAAATCCTCTATTAAAAATAGGGGAAACATTTTTGGTCAACAGTCTGTTCCGCCAAGCATATACTCGACTTAAGAATATTCCAAGTTTATCTTAGCTTATGAATAAAAAGTACTTATTTATGTAAAATATGAATATAAAAATATATCATATAAAATGTATAAAATCATGACAATGTTATTAATAATAATAAAGTTTAGGTCTTATATATAATGTATAACTATTTTATATACTTTATATATAAATTGTATTTTATATTCATAAACTAAGATAAACTTGAAATATTCATAAGTCTAAATATATACCCATTTATTAACAGCCCATTTTTTAACAGAGGATTGACATGAAAATTGATGAACAGTTCTTCGCAAAAGCTTATATTTTCACACTTGGAAAACACTTGCACCTGATTAAAAATGGTTGACGATCATTTTCTCAAAATTTTTCTCAAGTCTCAACATGAATAAATGAATACATAATGATCAAAAACAATATACTGAAGCGAGTAGCCAATCATGCGCGCGCGAAGCGCGCCTCCTTTCCAAGTCGCTCAGAAAGACAATCGCAGAGAATGTCTCTTGAGCTTGTTTGATAGATTTCAATGTCTCGCGAATTAGTAGGTTTGAGGAGAAATGCCGGGACACCTTTCTAATATTGCAGATGAAAAAATGTTATAAAAGTTTCTTGACTTTTCCAGCTGAAGTCGACAATGTGCCCGAAATCAGTTGAATTTTCAATAGCTACTGAGCTTTGAAATCCTTCGGATCTTTGTTAATGATGCCAATATCTTGAGAATAAGTCACTCCGAAAAAAATCTCTTTCGAGAATGTCTTTTGAGCACGTTTAATAGATTTCAAGGTCTCGCGAATTAATAATTTTGAAGGGAAAGGTCAGAACATTTTTCCTGTGTTGCAGATGAAAAAATTCCATACAAATAAAGTTTCTTGACTTCTCAAGAAAGAAAATGTCAGCGACATTCAAAAGAATCTATAGGGCATTTGAGGAAAATTGGTTCAATATTATGTTCGCAAAAAACTTATTACCAACATATTTAATAAATCAGACTAGTCCTTGGAATTGCCAACAGTTGCAAAAAACCGTATCTTTGTTAAAGATATGAATACCTCAATGGTGATTGATGTTGCAATAAAATGTCAACTTCACAAGTTCTTAGTTTTGCCTCAATCCTGATAGTGATCGAAATAACTCCATAACTAAGGTGAGGACATATGTTAACTCGAAATAGTTTTACCTCTTCGCTATTAAATTTAATTTTAGATGAACATAAACGAGTATTTCAAGGAGGAAAATTAAGAAAGAATGTTGAAATAAAATTTGGCAAGATGTCTCAGGCGATTGAGACACTATAACCAGCCGTTAACCATTGGTAAACCCCCCCTGGTAACGTAAACATGAGTTAAGACAGCAGTTGCGTTTGGAAAGCATTGCCACTGTATTTCGCCTGCTTTTAAAACACCTACGATATGCGGTACGCGGAAGTACCAAGGTGGTACGTAATACTGTTTCATCAAGTGCAGAAAATCTCTCTTCGATTACCAAACGTAATTCAATAACAAATATCATAAAGTTACCAACGTTTCCCCATTTCACCCAATCAATTCTGTAACGGGATGGTGAAATAAGATGATTTATTCGAAAATTCCAATCGTTCTAACTTCTGAGTATCGAGCCACCTTTTCTTGACATAAATATTATGAATTACAAACAAGCAGTTTTAACGCTTCTTCCTAGGGTTACACATCGCTGAAAGAATCTCGTAATTCTCTAAACATGCGAGAATTACGAGAAATGAAAATTTTGTGAATAATTGAAATATCTCACAGACAAATGCAAAATTCTCCGTGAAGCCCTTCTTATAAATTCCCAGACTAAATCCCCTCATCGATTGAGCCAAGCGAATTTCCCCGGAAACAATTACTTAAATTCCGCTATTAAATTGTCATTCACGAATCACCCACAAACTTCATTACCATTATTCGAATCTCTACCAGTGAAGCAAGTAGAACAGCTTTCTTCGCAAAACTTTCACTCAATCCACTCGAATCTTAGAGTTCAAGAACCTCTTGTGAAAAGTAAAAGATAGTAAAACCGTCAGAGTGAAAGAATTCTAGCGCATGTCCCTGTTCCCCGGGATCAACACACGATTGCAAAATCATCTTCGAGCCGATGACCGGACGATTCCCAGAGAGAGTGTCTCCCCCTGTTGAATGTATCGCACGAAGGTGAGGCCATTTCAAACGTCGACCTTAAGAAATCTCTTATAAATATTCCCACCGTTATTTATTTTCTTCGAACGGATCAGCATACGTCTTTTTCGGTTCTTAACGAGATACGGGAGGAGAGATGAGTAAAAGTGAAGCATGTGTGTCTTGCTAAATCCGGTGTGAGTTCGATGCCCTGTAGCATCCCAGAGTAAAAGGTAATGCAAGATAGAAGGGAGGGGAACGGAACGGAGAAGGCGAAGTTATAAAAGCGATAAAGCGTAAACCCCATGCAACTGACTGAGAATAAGGAAAGGTACATGGCAGCCCTCAGGCTACTACCGTGTGTATAAGGTGAATGACGAGAGGGTGTTGGGAGGGGGGCAATGGTAAAACTTCAACCACACGTTTCTTAATTATATATACGATCCCCTGGGGTTTCAAAATCCACTGAGTCGATGAACCAATATGCTTTTCTCGACTTGCAACACGTGCTCTCCGGTCTCCACCCCACCTCTCTGACGATTACACTTTACATTTGCCCCGTTTACTCCCACTCATTTCATTATCTTTTCATATTTTTTTTCCTCTTTTACTTGTCTGGTCGTTTTTTCTCTCATTTAACGTTTCATTCGCCTTGTTTCTTGTCTTCGTGCATGTCTGACTTGTTGCTTGGGGCTTGGTGCCCCGCAGGAATGCAAAAGATGTGATTGGGTAATGGGATAGGGCACGGTACGAGCTCGGGGTTTATCATTTATAAATTTTTTTCTTCTGAGGGAATTGTGGGCGGCAAGTGGTAGTGAAGTGGCTTCAGGGGAAGGGGTTTCATTTTTTGATATCTCGGTAATGAGGAATTTTGTGAGGAAATATCAGGAGACCTTTTTGTTGCAAATTTCTTTGCCGCAAGAAAGGCCTCATGACATTCCCCCCTGCGATCCTTAATTTTCAACACAGATGTCGAAATTACGAAATTTTCCTTTTTGTCTCCCATCCATCGATCCCCAAAGATAATCGATGGAGGGTTCATTTTTCATCTAACTTCTGAAATGAGTTATTTCAAACGAGCGATCGGTCGACAATCATTACATTTGTAATATTTTCTAATATTATTAGAATTTACACCTTTCTATTACTAGCGTTATTTTATCTTAATTGAAATTTGAAAACAATGCAATAATTCATAATTAAATTTTTTTATCAACTATTGAGTAAATAATTCAGTAGCGAATTAAACCTAACTTCTAAGGAAGATAGCAAAGTTTTTATTATAACCTTTTTTTGGAGAGCCGATTGAGAGCTACAACAATTGTAATTACGAAAATTTCGTTATCTCCCTTAGATTCGCAAATATTCCTCAAAAACTCAACTGGGAGATAAGTCGACTTAAACCCTTTTACCACTTCGCTACTGAATTCTAAATTTCATAAAAGGATTTTTTCGATTAGACATGTAATGGGCAATCTTCTGACGCGATTACTGGTTGATAGATTATTTCGGAATTTGAATATTCAATTGACGATTAATTTGGTAATTGATAATTGTTGGGTAATATTATCAGTTAACATAAGCCAAATTCAACTTATTTTGAAATTGATGATTGTTCCGATCCCAGTTTCAAACGAATTTCAAATATCATGGCACAAGAGGTTTTAACATACCTTGCCTCATCAGCAAATACAAATTTCCTCAGTTTAAGATCCCTGAGAACAACGCCATTCTCGTGGCACTTGGCAACAGCCTTAGCGGCCTGACGAAAGAGCCGTCTTGCCTCAGGCTCCCTGAGTCTCCTTCTTGCCCTCACATAAGCATGAAGATCACCGTGATGTCCTTCAAGGAGAAGATATCTCTTTCCCCCTGGTGCATCAACGACCCCAGCTACTCCACTCGCTGCCCCTGTCCCCTCGAGCCTCAAATGGGCCTTCAACAGTGCCTCACCACCTCTATCACTCGCTGTAAGTGCCTGAAATTGTACAGACGAGGTTTTGAAAAGGAAAGAGGAAAAAAAACGATCATTGCGAATGAAAAATTGCCAAATCCCTTTCAACTGTGTCAAGGTTCCATTGAAAATGATGTATTCATCCGATTTAAAATACTCTTTGCCATATTTCAAATCAACTTGAAATTTATTAACAACGAGTTGACTTTGAATTTCAATCATTGAATGATGGTAATGATAATGAATGATGTTGTCAGGCCACGATGGGAACGGATCTGCTTGCGAAAGCTCCGGTATTGTGTGTACACGTAATCGTCAATTAAATTAAAACGCCCCTGGCTGTGACTCGACGATTATGAATAAAGCGGGTGGTAACCGTGGAGAAGGGGAAGGGTGGGAGGGGTATTAAAAAACGGAATAACTGAGTCCTTGTATTTGTTCGCATACACGCTGATGTAACGCAGTATTGTATAACGTCAGGTTTAAATTGTCAAGATTTGCATGAAATAAGTGTCAGGGGACTGTTATCAACTATTTCTCGGAGATAAACAGTTGACAATGATATTTCAATAATTATTGTAACGATAGGGTTGCAAAATTATTGGAAATGTTTCATCTGTACTTCAACGATGTCGAAACATCGTCGTCAATCATCAAACTATCTCGGAACTTATTGCTTTTAGGTGGAAATTTGAAAAGAGCTTTTTCTATAATGCAGAATGATTTAAAAAATTCCGCGTTGCACGCGCTTTCAAGATGATTGCGAGATATTGCACAGCAATTATTCAGCAGTGATGCAAAAGTTTTTGTTAAGCTGGCAATTCTCGTAAACGAGTAATTTCAGAGTTAAATATCGACCTTTTATATAGTGCAGACAATTCTCCGTGGCCTTTCCATCTGCTGATGAATTTTTATGAAATAAATTATTGACGACATAATTACGAAACGTTGAACATCCTCAATTCAATAATGAAGCAACGATATTGATCAATACTGAAATAATCTCGTGGATAAACAATAAAGCAATTCCCTTTTAAATTTACCTTAGCCACTAATTGTTGTCCAGTTTGAACATCGACACATCTATAAAGTGCACTGCCCTCAGCCGGTCCAACGAGTAAAAATCTATCTCCAAGTAAAGTAGGACCAGCATTGTCAGTTGGTATTGCCTCACAGCTTGGAAATACAACAGGTGTTACCGTTGTTGTTGCTGTTGTTGTTTCATCACAACTCGGCTGTATGACATCCTGATTATGGCCATTTTGACTGACCAGAAATTTACCATTCTGGATACGTGTCACTTGCAGATGCAGCGGATGCTGATGATTGGCTAATCTCATATTGCAATTGATGAAGAAATAAACTGATCTTTCAGGCACTGGTTAACACCTTCACTGATCAACAACACTTGATTTTTTTTATCCTTATGATATTTTTGTAACAAACTTCACTTGGTCTCCCTGACCTTGGAACACTTTGCTGGCGTTTTAAGTCTTTTTTGTCGACTTATTTCAATTTAATCTAGCCATTCTACGATGATTCACTTATGTTTAACCCTTTGTACGTGGTAAACACCCCAAAAAGCATTTGAATTATATGGTTATTGGAAACAGGTAACTCGAGTAGCCTCTAAATGACTGATTCCTCCTTCAATTATCACTTTATATATATCTCCAATAATTTATGTCGATGAATCATGGGATTGATTTTTTATCTTTATGTATCGATGAATTGGGACAATTGAGCTGTTAGCTGGAAGTACTGCAACCTCTCGTGTCCCTGGACGGAGTGAGAACTTGAACGGTGTTGTGTCGCCGCAAGTCACCCTGATGATTAGATTATTTCTCTGGAAAATACACACAAGAGAGAGAATATAATTAGCAATTAGTAATCGACGGAGGTATAAATGTGCAATCCTTAATGACTGATAATTCCATATACGTGGATAATGTGAAAATACGAAATAGGGAAATCCAGGCCACCGCATCATCACGATTCGATAACGATAAAGGAATAATAGTACAGTGCACAGTGATGTGGCAAGTGGAGATAAGACTGAAAATGACAGTTGGGCTGGATTATCGATACCTTCGAAGTGAGTGGATTCAAGAGCATTTATCGAGTTACTTTTTCCCGGAGAGACGGAGTTTTCGTTAAATTATTCATCAATTAACTCTTCTCGAAACCGAAATTCATTTTTTCTCATTCTTTCATCATGGAAATACTTGAGAATGAGTGATGTTAGGGGGAAATGTCAGGGGAACTTTTTTTAGAGAATTCGATTGGCTATACAAAAGGTCTTCTAACATTTCCTTATTGAAAAAATGAAAATTTTTAAATTCATGAAAATAAGAGCTAAATCAGTTTCAGAGAAAATATCAGAATGCTTTCGTGTCTTTCGATGTTTCCCGCTAGAGTCCTTTATTCCTAATATGCGCACGTCCACATGAAAAGGGCCCACGTTGTCGCATCTAGTTTCCGAGATATTGCCGTTTTTCTCTTCGCAACCCCCATTTAAGGTACTTCCTCAGTGAGTTATACTTGGTGAAAATTTCGCAATGAACTGAAGACCTAAAATTTGGATTATATGTTGTTGAGGACATGTGAAAACGATTCCCAAAATTACAGGTATTTTTTCCACGCGAATTTTTGAGATATGCATCGACAAAAACATAAAAAAGACAAAAATTAAATGTTTGACGATGGATATCTCAAAAATTCGCGTGGAAAAAATACTTGAAATTCTGGGAGTCGTTTTTACATGTCCTCAACAACATATAATCCAAATTTTAGGTCTTCAGTTCATTGCGAAATTTTCACCAAGTATAACTCACTGAGGAAAAACCTTAAAACCATCTTAAATTATTTCTTTCATCATAGAAATACTTGAGAATAAATGATTCTAAGGGGAAATGCCAGGGGAACTTTTTTTTAAAGAATTCGATTGGCTACCCAAAAAGGCTTCTTCTTTACTACGTGATGAGATGAGCACGCGCGTGCGTAACACGCGCGGCCGATCGTGAGTTCAAAAAACGGATCGACGGAAAGAGTGCTGGAGAACGAAATATTAAACATAAACAATGATTTCATAGGGAAAACGAACTGAGGGTTCTTTATCTTTAGGTGACGATATTCTTTTGGTCTCTGTGACTGGTTTTTAGTCTGCTGGAGCAGTTCGTGCAGTATAGACATTCTCATCACGCTGTGACGAAAAGTGAACTTTTCGGCACGCTCCGCGTGCCTAAAAGTCCAATTTCCGCCACATTGTGATGAAAAATATTGTTCGTAACTCGTGAAAAAATGTTTTTTACCTCGTGGGATTATATCACGAGCCGAAGGCGAGTTTGCGAGGCCGTTGGCTCGCCAAAAAACACTTTTTTGCACTCGTTACGAAATATACTATTCTTCCTCGTCCGTTTTTAATAAAGAACAGGAATGAGATTTGAATTCACTGCGTTCTACTTCGACAAAGTGGGCCCTTTTCACGTGAACGTGTACAAAGGGGAGGCTGAGGCAAAGTGGACACATTCGTGACTGTTTTTTAATGTTTATAACTACGAAATACATTCATCAATTAAGCTCAGTCTGGCCTGATCAGGAAAAGGAAACATTGTACTTTATTTTTTACAAGGAAAAAAAGAATAATCCCATTTCTTCAACAGTTCAATAAATTCAGTAGCGAAATGGTAAAACGGTTTAAGTCGACTTAGCTCTCATCTGAGTTTTTGAGGAATATCTCCGAATCTAAGGCAAATAACGAAATTTTTGTAAAGACCTTTTATGTAGAGCGAATTAAGTGCTATAGAAAAGGTCTAGTCAAAAGATTTCCTATCTTTCTTACAGTCTGAGATATTCATTGAAAACTGGCAAATAGTCAAAATCGACTTAAACCGTTTTACCACTTCGTTACTGAATTATTGACATTTCAAAAAATGTAACTAGTGTCCATATTGCCCCACTCTCCCCTATATTTAACTCCTCAGCTAATTCATTACATATAAAAGATCGCAATATATACACATATTAGCTCAGTCCATCTCACACGGTGTTTCGAGCAGAAGAGAAAAGTAGAGTATAAAATGAAGTGTACGCGAAAGAGTCAGAAATTTACTTCTAACACAGATTTCAGATTTATCTTCATATTTTTTTTATTTTATGTTTGATTACTGTTTTATATGTATATTATTGTAAACCTCTGTCCCCCCCCCCTTGCTATGAGGGACGTCTCGGAAGCAATAAACTAAACTAAAAAAAAAAACTTTAATTCCTCAGCACATGATTTTCGAAATCATCTCTCTGCTCAACTCGACTTTAAATAACATGAAATAACCGTAAAAGTCTGTGACTTCACTATCATTCATACCGTTTATCCTAAACTGAAAGAATTGAACCTGTGATTCAGCCTGGCATGATTCCATGTACAAGCCAACAGTACAGAACAGAAACGAATATAAACCGATGGAGTTCCAGCGTTTCAACATCCGTCTCCACATTGCGCAATTACAACCGGAGGTAAAGCGGTGGGGAGAATAGTGACTCGTTAAGGTCAGGGGTACCTTCCACTCAAGTATCACCCGATCCCCATTCGCACTGAATCCCCCTCAATGGCAATTTCTCACCTGAATATCCCGACAAGTCGAGACACCCCGAAAAACGAAACATTCCAATTCCTACTATAGACTCGAATTTCGCTGGTTCCGTTATATTTCTGCGCACACGCAAACGCCAATGCCCCCACTCCCACGCGAGGGGGTTGTACCGGATGCGCCCAAATTGCGCGAAATATCGTCAGACGGTGGCTGCTCCCGTCATCCCAACGTCATGACTTTTTATAAACCACAAAAAAGTCAATAAAACGTTGCGCATGCCATCTTATAATATCTCACTTGATCCACTGAATAAACGAAAAAAAAAATGGGGAAAATTTTCCCACTACTGGATCGGGTTTCAGTGACCTTGAATCGACACCGAGTCGCAATGAATGCCTCTGGCACGTGTGGTAAAATTGAATCCACGATAATTCACCTATTCAGTAGTTAATCATTGAATTGATATCGATGCTCTACCCTCCCTCCCCCCTTCCTCTCGACCCCACCTGATTCATTCCGTATCAATATCAGTATCTTCAGTCATCGTGTCGTCAGTGCTGCTGACGAAATTGGGCGAGTAAAACACGATGTAACGTGGATGTGAGAGGAAGTGTGGGGCAAATGGGCATGACGAAATAACTAAACTCCACACGTATAAAGGTTTCGTTTGATCGTACAAGTTTGCTCCGAGCCGAGGGATTGCTGGCCAGATATCCTTCGCTAAGGTCAAAATGGCCGTCGCCGTAGTCCAGAGTGCGAATCACGTTTTTATTATACTCTTTATCGATGACTGGAGGAAGATTCACAGGTTTAATACTAATGAGGGGATTTGCATATCGTTAAGTCTTGACGGTCGTTATTCATGATTTGTCAATTATGAATAGCGAATATTTTTGGTGAGCGGAATAATTTCTTGGGAATAATTTCAGGAATTTTGGGGCGAATGGTTGAATGGGGAGATTTGAGATATGTAAACATCGTGGAGATATCGTTGGGAATGGATCACTTCGAGCACTTTACACTTTAATATCATGATTTCTGCCTGTTTTGTTTGGTTAGATTGATAATGAGGAGCTGGAGATTTACCTGTGGTTTATTGTATAGTCCTCGTCGCCGTTCGTTTCTGAACGGATCCCATTGATAGCATTTAACACTTCCTCGTTCGTTGATTATTCCGAGTGGATTGTTTCGAAAAAAACTTGGAATTAGTCACTCAGTTAGTGAATAACTGTTGTCACCGTTAATTCAGTCGGAGTGTTGAATTAATTTTTCATTGGTTTTTTCTTTGAAGGTTGTTTTATGTCGAGCGGGCTTGTGGAAACTTTTGATTGATTTTTCAGGTAGTGAAAAAATTAATTCCGCGTTGCAGGAACGGTCCAAATGGACTTGGGCCGGCCTCCGCTCAGAAACGACGGCGACAACAAGAGGAGAGGGTGCAAACATCGACTTTACGCGCCATTGTGCAACTGACGACTGAGGGGATTTTGTCGAGTCGAGTGTGGTTTCGAGGGAGCTGCGGGAACATTGATGGGGGAACAGTGGCGTAGGGAGTGGGGGGTGGAATGCTGGAGGAAGTTTGGGCGGTTCGGAACGATGAATTAAAGGGGGAGGAATCATCGAGGTTTACGTGCTGGGTTTTGGGATGAGGAAAGAAGTCGATAATTTTATCAGAAATATTTATTTTGGGGCGGGGGGGATTGTCAAAGTAGTATGGATAAACTCCAGTGGA